GTGGTTAGGGATGCGGGGATGTGCCTGCACACAGGGCTCCCTGCCTGGGCAAAGCATGCCTGCAAACAGGATGCTCTGCCAGGAGGCCTGCACACAATATCCAAGTTTAATGGTCCGCTCGCACATGAGGGAACATGCCCTCCTTAGAAGTACGGAGAAGGCTGGAGTTGTGGGCAGGCCTCTTAGTAAACATGTTGTGGTCGCTTCCTCCCTTTGCTCCCCGCTGTCCTTGAAATGTGTTTGGCTACTTGCCCTTAATTGGTAAAGGAATGCATCTTGTAGATTTCAGTTTGTATCCAGTTACCGGGGTATAAAACAAACCACAAGAGGGGCTTGCGTAGAATTGTTCCTCCGGCCGGAGTTGTGTCTGTGTCTGTCTTTTGTGTGTGTCTTGTCCTCTGTGTCATTTCGTCCGCAACAGAGTCCCTTTTGTCCTTCAGGCCGAACCTTAGCATCCCTCCTCAGAGGTATTCCCTGACCACCCTCACCTTTGCAGTCATCCTTGACCACGTTACCTAGAAAAATATCTCATCACTGTCTGAATTCACCTTAAGTGCTTTTACTAGCTTATTGTCCAGCTCCCTCTACTGCAAGGTAAGCAAGCTCTGGGATGACAAGGGCCCAATCTTTCTTCCCCCCTCTCTGCTGTGTCTCCAGCCCTCCAAACAGCGCCTGGCCCACTACGGACTGAGTTATACAAAGCGTGAGCCCTGACGAGGGACAGGCTGGCCACCTCATTCCAAAGACGGATGAGAGTTAGGGGCCGATGCTGTGTGACTTGGGCATGGAGAGGTCCCTCTCTGGTCCAGGGTTTCCCATGTTCATGTCAGCCTGCCACTTTTTGTGCCCAAAGGAGCCCTTACCATTGTGGGTGCTGTGGGTCGAGCTGCCTCTGGAACGTCACTCATCTCCTCCTTCCCGTGTGACGGGAAGGACAAGCCAGACCTACAGCACTCAAGGACAAGCCAGACCCTGGATGTGAAGTGAGAGCCTCAGCGGTAGTACTTATGTTGCTGTTATTAATGGTATGATTTAATTTCCTGTTGTATTTTTCCATCTCAGCTGCAGCTGCCTTCCCCCCTGCTAGAAGAGTATTTAAAGTAAATCCTTTTTAAATTCTAACCAGTCTGCGCTGAAATTAGAAAGTCGAGTTTTAAATACTTTCGAGAATGCTGCTTAAGTTACCCTTCTACGGAGTTAGATGGTGACCTTTAAACACCGGTGGGTGACATATATACAACCCACATCTGTGAGGTCCCTTTCTAGGAGTTGGTGACCTTTCCGTGGCTGAGACATACGAGAGCCCATTTGTCACAGACCTTCCGTGCTTCAAGGCGCCTGTAGAAGAAGGCGTCTTGTTGGAGTCCCGCCTCTGTGGGAGGGGTTGGGGAATATTAGTCCCATTTGTCAGATGAGGAACCTGAGGCCCAGAGTGGTCAGATAACTCCTCCGCCCCCACCAAGGGTAGCAGGGTTGTAGTGAGGAGCTCCCGGTTGTGGCAGATAACATGATGGAACAGCCCAAGAGAAGGGGCGGCAGGCAAGGAGGGGGTGGCTTTGCGACCCAAGAGCCGCAGGCCAGGCCAGGGCAGCGGGGAAACCGTCTTACTGCAGCAGGCTGAGCTGGGGAAGCCGGGGCAAGCGGGTCAGCAGGGTCTCCAGGCTCTGGTCACTCAGGGCCTCACAGGACAACCTGTGAAATGAAGCATCGGAATGAGGTGGGGAAAGCTGGGAGTGCCCTCACAGCCCCAGCCTTTGGGAGACAGGCTACCCCCCCACTCCCTCCAAACGCTGGGCCCTCGAGGTATCGTCGAGGCTCGAATGCTTTCTCCCACGTGTGCTGGAGCAGCGGGGTTATTATTTTGAGGGCCAGGAAGACTGATGCCCGACGGAAGACACGTGTTGGGAAGAGAATGCCACCTCGCCCCGTGGTAAAGTAATAGGGAAAGGTCAGACCCGCAGCACGGCAGCAAAGGGTCTGAGGTGTGGCTTGGCCTGGGCCTAGGTCTGTCACAACCAGACCGAACAGCTGGTCACTGTCAGGATACTGTGTCGCCACCAGATCCACTGAGGGGAAAGGCCAGACACGCAGCCTTCGGGGTAAGGACTCGGGCAAGCCGGGTGGGGTGTCTGCGCGCCCTGGGATTTACATAGCCTCCCCGGGTCTATGTCTGTCCCTTCTCTCCTCTGTCCCTGCTCTTTTGTGCCCTGCAGGCTGCCTTTCCCTCCCGCTGGGCCCTCCGGGGGCGGGGGGGGAGGGTGGGGAGGCCTGGTGCACTATTTGCTGGTTGGGAGCCTCTGACTCTGGAGCTGGAGCCTCAGGGCCAAACCTCTGCCAGGGCCCAGGCACATCTACACCCTCTGTCCTGGGACCGGCCCGGGGCTCCAAGCACCGGCTAAACAGGGGGCCTTCGCAGAGGGTGGGTCAGTCCACAACACTCCCCACCCCTCCCCACACACATGGTTTCCCACCAGGTCCCAAATACACGGTGCTATGGCCTCTGGCTGGGTCAGAGTGGACTTCACACAGTTTTTTTAAGGCAACAGATATGCTCCCCATCACAACGTCTCACACGGAATCCCGAAATGTTCATGAAGTAGACATGTGGTGGTCGAATCTGGGGACAAGGCCGGAGCTGATCACCTTCCCTGGCATCCAAATTACTGGAGTTCAGCATTAAGTGCTTTGATAACAGGGGTGCCTGGGTGGCTTAGTCGGTTAAGCGTCCGACTTTTGCTTAGTCATGATCTTGTGGTTCGTGGGTTCGAGCCCCGCGTCGGGCTCTGTGCTGACTGCCAGCTCAGAGCCTGGAGCCTGTTTCAGAGTCTGTGACTCCCTCTCTCTCTGACCCTCCCCTGCTCATGCTGTCTCTCCTAGAAACAAATAAAACGTTTTTTTAAAAAAGTGCTTTGATAACAATATTCCAGTACGTGGTCCCAGCACTCTACAGTTGGCAAAGTGCTTTCATGCTCTTATCTCATTTTTCTAGCCACAGCTGAGGGTGGAGATGGGGATGGGGGAGGGGAGCTTAGAACCCCATCTGTGCTCAGACCACTGTCTGAGGCAGTTTACACAAAGCCTCCCACTGTGGCAGATGAGCCTCAGAAGGCAGTGATGTCCAGCTACACTTGTGACCCCTCCAGGGCCTGGTCCGGTGCCTGGTATACAGCAGGTGCTTAACAGTTAAATAATGGAAGAGTGCTTTTTGCATCACTGGCTGCAGTGTTATGAAAAAACACCAGAAGCGGCCTGGATGTCCATCTAGACTCTAGAGGGGTGGTTGAATCACCTGTGGCATATCCAAACCGTGGAGGGTTAATATTAAAAGGCCTAAGTGTAAAAAAAAATAAAAGGTACAGATATACAAAAGTTGGATAAAAACATAGAGACAATCAGGGACAATTCAAAATTCATGGGCTATTTGATGATTTTAATATGTCATATAGTACTGTTAATATTTTAGGTCTGATCATGGTTTTGTGGTTATACTAAAAAAATAAAGGGTACTCCCCTTTCAGCTACGCATATGGAAATAACTACAGATGCAGTTGTAAGGTGTCTGGGAATCGCTTGAAAATAATGTGTGTGCATGTGTGTATGATAATTGCCAAGACTGATAATTACTGAGGCAGGTGGAAGGGAACTGAGGGCCCATTACATTATTTGCTCTACTTTTTTTTTTGTTTTTGAGAGAGAGGGTGCTAGTGAATGAGGGGCAGAGAGAGAGAGAGAGAGGGTGCTAATGAGTGAGGGGGAGAGAGAGAAAGAGAGAGAGAATCCCATGAGGGGCAGAGGGGGTAGGTGGAGAGAGAAAGAAGCAGGGCTCACCAAAAGCAGGGCTTGAACTACCTGATTCAGGGCTCAAACTGTCAAACTGTGAACAGATCATGACCTGAGCCGAAGTCAGATACTTAACAACTAAGTCATCCAGGCACCCCTTATTCCTTCTACTTTTATATATATTTGAAAGTTCCCATAATAGGTGTGTGTGTGTGTGTGTGTGTGTGTGTGTGTGTGTGTGTGTGTTTTAATTAAAAAGTAACTTCACAGGGAAATCTGACAAATGCTATCTCAGCCAGGGGGTCAAGGTCAACATCAACAGCGCTAAGTCAAGTCAATAGCATGCACCTCTGAGATGGGACGAGAAAGATGCTTCACTTCTGTGGACTTCTTCCCCCCAAACCCATCACCGCAGTTTATTCATGAGAAAATCATCAGACACAACCAACTTGAGACGCATTTCACAAACCATCTAACCAGTACTCCCCAAAGCTGTCAAAGTCATGAAAAATGAAGACTAAGAAACTGTCACAGATCAGAGAGACTAAGGACGTTGACTAACTGCATTATGGGATCCTGGACAGGATTCTGGACCAGAGAAAAGGCCTTCGGCCAAAAACTGGTGACACCCCAATAAAGCCTGGAGTGTAGTTAATAGTCCTGTAGCAGGATTTCTCAGTTGTGGCAAATGTCCCATGATGAGTGATATGAACACCCAGGGGCAGTGGGTGGAGGAATTCTCTGGACTAGCTTTCCAACTCTTCTGGAAATCAGGCCTTAAGCTATTCTCAAATAAATGGGTTATTAAAAAGTTCACTGGCCCCATATTCCAGGAAAGCCATCATGTACTGTCACGAGACAAAAGCTCGTGGCAGAGACCTTACACCATAAGATCCTGTTCTGTTAACAAAGTCAAAACCCCCTTGTTTCATGTCCATAAGCATTTGCACACAGAGAAAGGCATGGAAAGACAGACACCAGGAGATCGACATGAGTGAGCTGGCTGCGAGGGCCGGACGGGCATCAGAGACGGGGTAGGAAGGTAGGAACAAAGACCGTAGTGAGTGGGAGAACCGTGTCAGCGAAGCTGTTGAACGCAGCGGGTCTGTGACCGCAGACAGGTAAAGACGGAACACGCACACGGATGAGGAGTGGAGGGTCCCAGGGACAAATGACAGCACTAGCTAGATAAGGAGAGGGGTGTATTTAGCTGAGGCAGGCTTGTCTTGATTTCTTTACTTCAGGGTAATTACTGTGAGAAGATGACAGCAATGAGGACCAAACAAAAGGGTGAGCATCTCTGCAGACAACAGAGCCGAGGCACAGGGAGTTAGAGTCATCCTGCCCGGAGGTGGCTGGGCCAGCACTCTTGATTCTAAGGCCGTCTCTGGTCACAGACCCTGGGGTTCTGGGGTGGATGAGCTGCTAACCAGGAGCGAAGGGGCTTTCAGAGGTGATCCGCTCCAGCCAGGGAGGCAGGTCGGGCTGGGGGTGGCAAGGAGGTGCTAGGGTGGGGCTCCATGGGGGAGGGAGCAGACTGGGGCTCCCAGGTGCCCGGAGTTGAGCAGATGGGGAAAAGGAAGCGGCCTCTCCCAGTAGCAAGGGCAAGGTGCCCTCCTGGGGCACAAGGAGCCTTCTGCCAGTAGGTCAGGGGTGGGCAGGGCTACGGGGTCTGGCGGGAAGGGACCAGACTCACCTCTAGCCAGGATGCCCTCCCACCCCCACCCACGGGGCAGAGGCCTACATGGTGCCCTCTAGGGCTGCGTCCTCCTTACTTACTTGACTTCCAGAGGCCCCGGGCACTTCTCCAGAGCGTCACAGAGGCGGGCGAGGCTCGGGGGCTCCAGGAGGCACTGCCGGAGGCTGAAAGGGGGCAGCGGACGGGGCAGGGCATCAGAGAGGACCCTTCTGCAGCCCCAGGGCTCTCCTCTTCTCCCTCTCCCCCTCCTTCTCTGCCTCTAGGCTGCAGGATCCTTCCCTTGCAGGACACGCTCTTTACCCCAAGTGTCCCCTACAGCCTGATCCCCACCACTCAGACAGTGACAGTAAAGGCTCCCAGCTTCCCTTGGCTTCCCCACTGCCACTCCCCCTGCCTGAGCCCAGGCCTCCACTGTCACTTTCCTAGACCACTTTAACACCCTCCAACTCCCCTCTGGCCGCCATGTAATCCTTCTCCCCCTGCCACTATCTTATCGTTTACCTGTGCAAATCTGACCACGCCCCTCAGGAGCTTCAGTCCTCTGTGGCTCCCTATTGCACTTAATCCTTTAGCAAAAGGCTTTTTCCAAGGCCTCGCCTGCCTTCGCTCACCTCCACTCGCCCTGTATATGCCCAGGCCACACTGACATGCTTCCCAAGAGCCAATCTTTCCCTCCTCAGGGCCTTTGCCCAAGCTGACCCACCTGCCTCGGTCACTCCTCCCAACTCTTCCCCTGGATAACCCTGTTTGGGCCCCAGCTGAAGTGGCTCTCTTCCTAGGTGAGGAAATCAAGGCCCAGAGAGGGGAGGGGCCCAGCCATGGTCACACAGCCTCCCCGAAGCAGAGCGGGGAAGTCTTATGAGAAAACAATGTGCGGTCTTTTGTCCAGGGAGAACTCTGGGCCCAGCAGCCCCCGCACCAGCCCTCATACCGGCCCTCTTTCTTTCTCTTCTCTCACACTCCCTCTCCCTCTCCCCCAGCCCTAGCCCCCTCCGGCCTCTCACTCCCTGACTCTTCACCCCTATCGTGGTGACCCCCAAACAAGAAGTACCAGAAGCTCCTGGGGACGCAGCGCTGATCAAACGCCAAGAATTGGGCTCCAGCTGGGAACTCTGCCAAAGGTCCACCAGCCAACGAATCCCTTGGGGTGGGGAGACCGTTTAGAGAGGAAAGTTCAAATGGTGCACATTGGAAGACGAGACTCAGAAGTCAAGGCTGCAGGGGGCCTAGGGACGATCCAGTCTCTCACTGCACATATGGGGAAACTGAGGCCCATGGGAGGGAAACCAGAGTCAGAAAAACCAGCAGCTTGTGCCTGTGACTAGGTCACGGGGAGCTGGGAGAGAGTCCCTCCTCTCTCTGATCACCAATGTGGCATTCATGGACATGGCCTTCCTGTGCCTCCATTCCTTAGACTTCAAGAACCCATAGCATTCCCAGAAATGGAGACCTGGGCCCAGGACATAAGACCCACCGGGCCTTGGGCCACTCTAGCTTCAGATGGCCCAGCTGGTCTGGCAATGCTTTCCCCTGACACCTTAGCTGGGAACACCCTCTACCAGCTGCTGGGCCCCCATCAGGCGGCCCCTGTGCTTGCCCAACTCCCAGGAGAGACCAGGGGGCCCGGCCCCACTAGGGGGCAGCCAAAAACATGTGCGCGGATCTAACTGTTGTTCCTTGTTTACTGCAGAGGTGTGGAAACTTTGTCAGAGCACCAACGGTTCTTGGTTTCTCAAATGCCATAAGCGGAGTGGGAAGTGGGGGTGACTCATACGAGGTCAGCTGTCTGCAGCAGTCTGCAAACGTCTGGCTGCCCTCCCTCCCACTCAGCAGCCCTGTGCCCGACATCTGCTCTGGGCTGTCACACCACCACCTTGGCCTCCCTCCCCAGCTGCACTGCCTCCTTCCAAGGGAGACCTCAGCGGCTGATGACTGCAAACCTGCTGACACAGGGTACATTTGCGGAAGTGGTGCCAGACCTGGGTGGGTTACTCTAGGGCTCGCGGCATGGCGCTGGGGTAGGGGGCACCCGTAGGAAATGGGGACGGTGGGGGTGAGAGGGGAGCCCACCCCACCCATGGAGCTCTCCCTCCTCACCTGCCTCTTCTGTCACCTCTCAGGACGATGTGCTGACTCTCAAAGCTGCAGAGAGAGAGAGAGAGGCAGCAGTCTGACAGAGGCCAGACGCCCTGGTCAAGGAGCACCTGGAGGGCCGTCCACTCTCTCAGCAAACACAACAATACATATACTAAGCATAACGACACTGATTAGGGCACATACAAAGCACACCACCGACATGACTCCTTTTATTCTCACAGCACCACTGTGAGGTTAGGAGGTATTCTGACCCCTCTTTGACAGATGAGGAAATAGGTATGGGGAGGCTCAGTGATCTGCTCAAAGCTGCCCAGCAGGTAAGTGGTGAGCTTGGATTTGAACCTGGTCTGTCTGTGCTCACACCTCTCACTCTTGGAAGGGGGAAAGGGGAGGACTGAGAAGACCTCACTGAAACCAAGGCTCATCTGCATGGCCTGGCTGGGTCAGAGTGCCCGGTTTCCGTAAAAGTCTCCCAGGATAATCCCAGAGAGTGAGCAAGGGACAGTGTCCCACGGCAAATTTGGAGAGATGAGAGTGTCCCAGGGCTACATTCATTCATTGGTCCAGTCACTCATTCAGCACACATCTAGCACACACTCACTGGACCTGGGACCATGCAGGGCCCCGAGGAGGCTGCCCTGTGATTGCGACAGATAAGGAAGTGCCGTGGGAGCCAATGGCCTATGTGGTCAGAGGGCGGGGTGGGGTCCCAGAGGCACACTCACCTGACATCCAGGTGGAGAAGCCACTGCAGAGTCGAGAAGCACTGGGTCAAAATGAACACTGCATCCAGGGACAAGCCGTTCTCACTGAGGCTGGAGAATCACAGGGGTGACATTGATGGAGCTCACCCAAGACTCAAAAACACCCTGTTTGTGGTCAGAGCCCAGGGCAGGGGAGAGCTGTCCCTGAGTCGAGATGACAGAGCTCACTGAACCCCAAAGGGTCAGAGGGGGCCTCTTCTAACTCCCCATTGTACAGATGGGGAAACTGAGGCCCAGAGAGCAGCAAGGTCTTGCCCAAGGTTGTGAAACATGTCGGTGACAGAGCTGAGAATAGAAGTCTGGTTCCCTGGGTCTGTGATAAATCTGGAGAGGGCTTTCAGGCTGGAGTTGTACCTCAGTTTCCCCACCTGATAAAAGAAGGGCAGTGCCCAGTGCCAAATGAAAATGCAAGGGCTCCTGTTCAAAAGTCAGGAACAAAGCTCTTCCTTTCTTTTGGGTCTGTCAATCTGTCATGGTGTTTTCTATTTGCCATTTAATGCTGCATTCCTCCGGTGCGGGTACTGGTTGGTGAGTGCAGACTCTCACGGGTCTGGGGTCAGAACATTTCACAGTGTGGAGAAGGTCACATGGGAATTTGCCAGAAAGCACCAATCTGCATATAATTTGCCTGAGATGGTGTGGTCTACCACACCACCCACATGCAGGCCCAGAAAGGGAAGAGGCAAACCCTTCTTCCCAGATCCCACAGAAAGACTGAGCAGGAAGGGCCCTCAGAACACAGCACTCACTAAAGTTGTAGACAAAACCAGAGTCAGCCCCTCTACTGTTTAGGTGTTAACTGGGAACCAGGGGCCCAGAGAGGTGACGTGACTTCCCTAGGGTCACACAGAGAAGCTAATAGTGGTGAGCTCTCCCCAGGACCTCTCTCTGGAGGAGGAGAGGGGTGTGTGGGAGCCTAAAACACCGGGGTCTCTTAGCATTCAGAAACTCTAGTCCGTTGCAGGCAAAGTCTGGGGGCTCCTGCCCTCTTTCTTGGGCCTCCCTCCCATCCTGAACATCTTCCCTCTCTCTGCTCTCCAGCTGCCCTGGGCACCCTGCTTGGGTAGCCTGTCTGCCGCAGATCCTCGCTGCTTACCAGCCTGTACCCTATCAACAGCCCCTCCCCACATCCCGGGGCCTGAATGGCCGCCAGTCATTAGGTTCACCAATCATTAAGTGACCCTTCAACCATGCTGACACTGCCCCAGGTGACCTGGGCCTCTCAGAGAGCCTGTGCAGAGACACAAAGACAGGTTCAAGAAACAGAACCTTAAATCAGCAGCTGGATCACTGAGTCACAGAGGCCAGTCTCTTTTAATGAGAATCACAACCGCAAGTACCCTTTTTGAGCATTTACCATGTGCCACGGACATGCGTTTTCTGATTTAATCTTTACAGTAACCCCAGGAGGGAGTGACATGGGACACAGAGCACCCCCCGCCACACACTCACGCTGTCTCTCTCTCTCTCTCCCCACCCCCATCTGACAAGGACAAGCCTCAAGAGGCTTCAGGGACTCACTTTAAGGACTGTAGCGTACCCAGCCCTGGGAGCAGCTGAGCCAGCTGGGCGGCGCCTTCATCCCCCAGAGCATTGCCTGAGAAGCTGGGGGGGGGGGGGGGGACAGAGGGGAGAACAAGTTAGTGCAGGATGCAATTGGGGCTCGTAGGAGCTTTGTCTCTCCACTTCGGTCACTCAGTCACTCAGCTTCTCCTGAAACTGGGACACGACCCTGGGCCGCCAGGACGGATCCCACAGATCCCACATGGGTCAGCCATTGTTTCCCCAGGGTTCTTATCTTGAGACTCGTGACACTTGGGGAGTCAGTGATGGGCTTCAGAGGGGATCATATGTGGGGGCCTGTAATTTAGGGGGAAAGGGGTAACCCCTCACCAGATTCTCTAAGGGGTTCCTGATTGCAGAAAGGAAAGACTGCTGATCTGAATCTTAAAAAATCAAACCAAAACCCAGCACACCAACACCCACTGCCTGAGGCCCCCTCTTCCCCCCACCATCCCACAGCAAGCACTCACTCAAGGTGACGGAGGTGGCGGCTTCCTCCCAGCACCCCGCAGAGCTGTGCGAGGTGTTTGGCTTGCCAGCCACAGTGTGTCAGCCTGCAGAGGGGAAGCACAGCCCTGCAGTGTCCGCCTCTCTGAACAGAGGTGAAAGTGGCCCCCACCCCCCACACATAGGCAGAGAGACTTGCAGAAAAGGGATGGGGACACATCTGGGACTCAAATAGAGGGACCAATGCACACCACACACATCAGACATGCCACACAGGCAGTAAAGAGCCAGAGAGAGTCAGAGGCACAGGGAGGCAAGGAGACTAAGAATGAGAGATGCTAAGATGAGAGACAGATGCAGAGACACACGTGCACACACACACCTACACACCCATGCACATGAGGGCATATGCACACACACATGCACACATGCATAGGCATGCACACACACACACAGCCCACACATGCACACACATGCAACACACAGATGCATATGCATGCACACATATGCTTATGCATGCTCCAACACACGCATACATGTGCATGTGCATGCACACATGCGCACATATGAGTGCACACGCATGTGTGCACATGCATGCACACACACATGCATATGCTGCCACACACACATGCAGGTGCACGCATACACACAGCGCCAAGGGAGGACAGACAATGACAGAAAGGGCAGCAAAGACAGAGAAACAGGAAATATAAGAGAAACAAGAAGCAATAGAGATAGACAGACAGGGAGATTCAGATGGACCTAGAATAAGAGAGAAGGCCAGGAGAATATTGACAGGAACCCTGTGGGGGCTGCTAAGTCCCAGGATGAGGGAAAAAGTGGCCACATGTCCCCATTCTCTCCATCCAGAGTCCCTGCAACTCAGCAGCTGCAAAGGTCAGGGGAGCTAAGAGGAGTGGGGGCTCCCAGGAGGGGAAGGTAACTGAGGGGCTGCCTAGTGAGCCTTGGTGGGGGGAGGGTTGGCTGGGCAGGGGAGGTGCAAGGCAGGGAAGCCAGGCCACAGGTCCTGGATACAACAGGTCATGTCCTCCAGGGAGCACCTGAGGCCAGAGGCCTGGGGACAGGCTTTGAGCGGAGGAAGGGACGAGCGGGAACCACAGCCGGGCCTGCGGGCCAGCACCGTACCTCATCCTCGCGGAGTGTGGGGACAGCTCACGGGGCCTCTGGTGCATGAGGCTGTCACGGAGTGCACCCCTGCAGGGACACACACCGAGGCCAGGCTGAGCAAACTCCTCAGCCAGTATCTCCAGGTCCACCCTCCGCCTCACCTCCAGCCATCAGGTCTCTCCATGAGGCCCGGAGACAGCCAGGCCTTGGTTCCACTGGAGCTTCCTGGCTCCCTGGCTGTGTGACGTGGGACAAATCACGTAGCCTCTCGCTGGGACAATGCATGGGAACTGCCCAGTGTCCTGCTTGCTGCACATCAGAGTACGTGCTCGGCTAACCTTGGCTGCTAATATCATTAACCTCCACATCATTATCAGTGCCTTCAGAGATGCCAGCCTAGGGCTCAGACCCTACATAAGACACTGTAGGTAGATACTGAGGGACCAAGAGCTGAGCCTCTGCCCATGTGTCAGGCTGGGACAATCCAGGAAGGCACCTTGTAGGCGGTAAACTTCCTTTAACGGGTCCTCATGACAGAAGGAGCCAGAAGTTCTGACCAAAATCAGAGCTACAGACCAAACAATCCGCAGTCCTTGGGTTTAGACCGCAGTCTCTGGTGCTCTGCTCTCTGGCTTCCCCATCCCCACCCCGGTATGGGAAAAGCGGAGGCAGTCTGTCCTGTGACACTCCTGCTCAGGGCCGCATCCCTTGCCAAGCTCATTGGCTTCTTAATCCTTCGTGAATCGGTCAAGTATCCCTGGCAGCTGAGAGATGCAGTCTGGCTGAAGGGTCAGGGAGGACCTGGCTGTGCCTAAGGATGGGGCTGGGGTGACGCCATACCTCTCCTGCATTGCTTCCTGTTCCTCCTGCTCCGGGGCAAAAGTGAGGACAACAGTTTTGTGCAGCAGGCTGCAGAGAGAAAAGAGGAAGAAGGAAACAAGAGGCTTATGGGGGGTCTTTGTGTCATTTTCTAACCTCACCCGGAGGGACCTAGAAGGTGTCATCCCCTGCCTCTAGCTGCAGCCACTTGCTGTGACTTCCTGAATTTTTGCGCCTCTGAAGTCTTTCTACAGAGATTTCACTGACTGATTAACCCTCATTTCCTGGCAGGTCCTTCAAAGAAAACCTCAGTTCTGCCTTCTCTCTGGTTTGGGCTTTGGGCTAAAACCCTCTTCCCTCTGCCTTATGCTCGGAGCCTGTTCAGCTGAGGGGACTCACCCCAGCACAGCGGGGTCACTGCCAGGTCTGGGACAGGCACCGACAGTCCACCCGAGGCTGTAACTTACAGCAGGAACATCCCTAACCTCATCTGTGTAAACTGCAAGTTAAATACACATTTTCATTGCAGAGGTCATACTTCTTCCCCGTGGAGAACTTACAAACTATAGTAAAGTAGGAAGAAACTAAAGAAACCCACCCACCATCTCTTCCACTTGTTAACGACCGCTGGTAACACCTGGGAGTGGGCTCTTCAAGTCTTTTGTTTGTTTGTTTGTTTTATGATTTTTTTTAACTTTTTTTTTTTAATGTTTTTTATTTATTTCTAGTAGAGAGAGAGAGAGACAGCGTGAGCAGGGGAGCATCAGAGAGAGAGGGAGTCACAGACCGAAACAGGCTCCAGGCTCTGAGCTGACAGTCAGCACAGAGCCCGACGCGGGGCTCGAACCCACGAACCGTGAGATCATGACCTAAGCGAAAGTCGGACGCTTAACCGACTAAGCCACCCAGGCGCCCTGTTTTATGATTTTTTAAAGTTTTTTTAAAAGTTTATTTATTTTGAGAGAGCAATTGTGGGAGAGGCAGAGAGAGAAGAGAGAGAAGAAAGAGAAGAGAGAGAGGGAGAGAGGGAGAGAGAGAGAGAGAGAGAGAAAGAGAGAGAGAATCCCAAGCAGGCTCCTCACCATCAGCACAGAGCCTGACTCAGGGGGCTTGAACCCACAAACCATGAGATCATGACCTGAGCCAAAACCAAGAGTCACACGCTTAACCAACTAAGCCACCCAGGCGCCCCCCAACTTTTTTTTAAATGCAATTAATGTTCCTTCATTTTTCCTTTTCTTAAAAACTGGGATTAAATTACAGTTTCTCTTTTGAAAGCTAGTGTTTCAAGGCACAGGTTAAACAAGGGTGACAAAATGTTGACGACTATTGGTGGGAGCTGAGGTGTTCATGACACCATCCTTCCTACCTTTTGAGTACATTTGAAAATCTTTACTACAAAAGTGATGAATTAAAATTTTTATGTTTACCTAATATACCGCAGTCAGCCCTCCATGCTACAATTGTACCTATGTCAGTATTTCGCATTGAGGTTTTCTCTCTGAAGGTAACTTAGTTTACTTACCTAAGAGTCAATGGTTACCCATGTATGTTCATTCTTTCCTATTATAAAATACTGACATGAACATCCCTGCATCTAAATGTGTTTGTACCAGCAGGAAGAGTCCTCCCTGGAAACCAGTGGAGCGTCATTTGGAATGAGCTAAGGATCCCTCATGAACCAAGGTCCCTTAATCTCTCTTTTGGGTTAATCGATATCTTTCTCCCTCTCAAAGGAGGGACCACCCTCCTCAGTTAAGAGCCTTTCTGGGTGGAGGCTGTGATGACATTAATTAGCATCTGTCCTCAGCGCCCCCAGACTGAATACTGAGACTTACACAAAGAAAGGCTGGGCCCTGTCTTGGGTCAAGTTCCCTAGAAGCAGAGCCTGAGCCTGTGAATGGGACAGAGGGTCAAGTGTCACACAATGATGACTTGTGAGCGTGAGGTACTAAGGGCCTGCTGTCAGGAGAAGCTGGGAAGGGATGAGGAGCAGAACAGAGTGGGTCCTCAGTCTGATCCCACAGGGAGCTCTGGAGCATGAATGGTACCAAAAGTTTGCCCCACCTGAAGCCAGGGGGCTGGAGAGTGCTATCTCTGCCTCTGTCACTGGCCACTCCTGGTTGGGGGAATTGGAGGGTAACCTTCCAGGCATCGCTGGCTCCCATCAGCCCAGGATAGTTTCCGGGAGAAGGTATAGGCTGTGAGTAGCCAACACCCAGAGGAGCTGGGAAAAGAGGGTTTGGGCGGGGCACCAGTAGCACATTCTATATGTCCCAAAGGCCTGGTGCCAGAAAGAATTCTAATGACCTAGAGAGGATGATGGGAGAGCCCCAGAGCTCCAGACTGGAGGTAGGACTGGGTAACAGTGGTCTAAGGGGAGTTCCTACCTGATGTGTAGCTCCGCTAGGGTCTGGCACATGCTCACTGCGCTCAGCACCCTGTGCACCCCGTCCATGGTCAGCCCGTTGTCACTGAGGCTGTGGAAAGGAGTGACAAGGTGGCAATCAGCAGGCAGCTGAAGTCCTCAGCCTTAGACAGTTCCAGTCCCCTCCTCCTGGCACAAGTAGGCTTGCTGACTGTCATTCTTGGGATGCCCTGGGTCCTCAACCAGGGTGTCTCAAAGAATTCTGGCCCATGTGGATGAGCCAAGAGATGCCTGAACCCCCTGCCCCGCTCAGAGAATAAGGTTCTACAGCTTAAGCGTTAAGAACTGACTCACTGTTTTCACCTCTCTGAGCCTATTTCCTGGTCTGTAAAATGATCACCATTTTAATCCCATTTTACAAATGGAGAAAGTAAGGCCCAGAGACATTAAATTATGTTAAAGCTACTAAGTGACAGAGCCAAGATTGAAATCCAAAGTCAAGGCCGCAAACCATAATTTCTCAACCTCAACCTTCCCCCACCCAACCCACACTTGAGGCTAAGACCCCAACACATCTCACCCAAACACCACCCTACGCCCGACCATGTAATACCACAGCACACCAAACAGCCTACTACTCGTTCTTTCCATCCCACTGCTCCCACAACCCACCCCTTCCCTCAGCAGTGTAACTCTACCCTAGCACACCTCTCCCCAAGGCAGTGCCCCACCACCCATCCACCCCTTGCAACATCCCTCCCCTCCCCTCCCAGGGCTGTCGTAAGCGCAGAGTGGAACACAAGCCACTGATAAACAAGGAATACAGTCCACACATGCAAGGGGTTTTAAGAACTGGAGCTAAGACAGGGGCTCATGCCAGAGACAAAGGTGAGTCAAGGTCAAACCCCTCCAGTTTTGCTGGTATTGGGGAGAAAGCAGGCATGGCCAGTGGAGCAGAGCTATTTCTAGTGACTGTGGGCACACAGACCCAGGTGGTAGGGACCAGTGGGGCCTCTCTAGAGCCCTCCCTGCTACCCATCAGTGAGGCAGGCAACTCACTTCAGGTTCCCGGCGATGTACAGCTGGGCTGCAGCCTCTGCCATCAGACAACAGCCTTCATCGTTCAGCTGGTTCCCTGAGAGACTGAGACAGAGGGGCCTGATGCACTGTGCTGCAGGGGCGGGGACCCCCCGTCGGCCTCTGCATGCACGAGGTCCCTCCTTGCCTTCAGCCAGAGCATCTCCTTGGTAAGTGAGCCTTAATAGCAATGGGTGCTACAAGGCTGTGTGTAGTACATGTCCCGCACCACCCCAGGTGCTTCTATGATTATTGGGTATTTAATCCTCATAACAACCCTGTGAAGCAGGCACCATTATTATCCTCATCTTACTGAGTAGCAAACCAAGGTACAGAGTGGTGAAAGCACCTCCTGAAGGGTGGACCTGGGACTTGAACCCAGGCTGCCTGATTTTAAAGCCTCACCCTCAGCTGTTTCTTTATGCTTCAGTCTACATAATTACTTCTTGTGATAGACTCCATGGTCATTCAGGCGTCAGATCTAGTCTGGGGACCAGGGAGGGTTTCCTTGATGTTTGAATGACTTGCTTGAAAAAACTAGGAGCTCAATAGGTAAGGGGTGAGAGAGGGATGGGGGAAAGGTGCTCCTGGTGCTGGGCACAACTCATGCAAAGGCCCTGTGGCATAGCACACAGGAGGGCCTGAAAGGGGGACAGTGTGTCAGGATCGATGATTTCAGCGACAGGGCAGAGTCAGATGGGGCTTGGGAGGTTCTGAGTCACACAGGATTTTAGGATTTGGGCTTTATCCTGAGCAATGGGAAGGAGTGAAGGGGGCAGGCAGCAGTGAAATGCAGTTCCCTCTCTACCAGGTGGAGGTGGCCAGCATGGAAGCAGGGAACCCAGTGAGGAGGCTGATGCCATCATCCAGGTGAGGAATGAGAGTGGTTCAGACTGGGGAGGTGGATGAAAAGAGGGTGGTTTTGAGAGCTACGTAAGGGGTACGTCGACTTGGCATAGACTGGCTATGGGGTGGGGGGGGGGAAGGGAGCTGAGAGGTGTCTGGTCTGTGTAGCCAGGTAGGTGATGGGGTCATATTGCAGGTGAGAGCACTGGGGGAGGGGCAAGCTTGGTGATGGCCAGGTGGATGGAAGCATGTGAGTTTGGTAAAAACACCTGGTAATCCTGTCTCGGTTCTCCCAATGGGACAAAGTCAAGGCTCAAGCTTTGGTCACCAAGGCCCTCACCTATCCATCTTTCCCCGGGGTAGGGCCACTCACCTCAAAACACATTACGGCACTCCATCACTCCACCCTCGCGCCCATTTGATTTCCTGGGATGGTCCTGGCAGGGGTCCTCTCTGGGTGACACCAGGACCTCTAGCAACCCCCAAGCCCTACTCTCAAAGGAGCTGGACATGAATGGAATTTCTCCAGCCCCAAAAGAGGAGGTGGTCTCACTTTACTCTGGGAGGAAGACAGGGTTAGGGGACCTGGGGGCTGTAGTCTGGAAGACAGATGTGATGAGGCTTCTGCTTTGCAGGTCCGTTTACAGGGACAAGGCTGGTGGGAGTCGCTGTCTGAGCTTAAACCCTGGCCTGGACTTTTCCTAGCTGTGTGACCTTGAGCAAACTTACCTCTTAAGTTTTTTGTGGCTTAACTTCCACTTCTACAAACTGGGTATAGTAAACAGCACTTATATCACAGAGACGGGGACATAAAATAAGAGGATGTTTGTAAAAACCCTGGCCCAGGGCAAATGCTAAATAGTGGTAGCTGTTATGATATCTGCATCCCCCAAATTCTTAATGAGGCAACATGCCCTTACTCACACCATGCTCCCACAGTAGAGGCCCTTCAGACCCTGCCCTGCCCACCGCCCTTCTCCCACCCCAGAACTTCCCATGATACTCACTCCACTTCGTCTAGGTGGGGGCCTTCCTGGAGCTGGGCTATTAGTTCCTGCACGTCATGGACCCCGAGCTCACACTGCTGAAGCCTGAGGTCAGGTTGGAGGCAGAGGGACTCAGGGCAAGAAGCCACCCCATGCCTCCTCCAGCTCCAAGGACCACTGCCAGGTGTGGGAGCCAAGGGAGTCCGGAGGCAGACAGACCTGCTTCTTAGTAGCTGGGAAATCTTGGACAAGGTACTTAACCACGCTGAGAAATCTTGGACAAGGTACTTAACCTCAGTCTCTTCCTCTATAAAATGGGAAGAATAAAGTGTACTTTGCAGGGTTTTCAAACGAATTACAAAGAGGTAATGGATATAAAATACCACAGTGCCCAACAAGGGCTCATTAAATTATAGTAATCATTATTGTTGTTATAACAGATGCTCCTTGTTCAAGCCAGGATGGGTTTTTCATGTGCTTTCTCTGTTTCATGCCTTTACGCCTTTACCCTTTATCCTCCTTGCCCCAGCTATTCCTTTCCTGGGAAGGCACCTCCTCTCATATCATATCCCTCCCTTTAAGACTACGGAGCCCACAGAGGTACCTGAGTGCCAGGTTTCTGCTCTGAGCCTCTTTCCTCTGGCTGGCATTTCCCTGTAGGTCTGATGCCCTGCAAAGAACAAATCCAGCACTAGCCTTGGCTTAAGAGTCCAGGGCCTAAGGAGCCAAACCTTTTACTTTGGGTTCTAGGGGCTGAAGACCCTGTAGCACGACCCAAAGCGAATGAGTGACAAAGACAGTCGTTTGAAGATGCTGAAGGTGCTATTCAGCAGAGCAACAAGAGCAAAAGTTCTGAGGTCAAACAGGCTTTATTCAAATTCTGGCTCTGTCTTATATATATAGCTGTGTGGCCTTGGGTAAGTCACCTATCTGAGCTTCTATTGTCTCTTTTCCAAAATGGGATGACAATATCTAACACAGAGTGATTGAAGGATTAAATGACATGGTGCATGGTCAAGCACCCAGCATAGGCACAAAATTGAAGCTTAGTAAAAAGAAGCTGCTATTTCTACGTTGAAGGTTTCCATGTGTGTATGCGCTACCTGTGGTTCGGAAGGCTGGGAGTATGGACTGTGTGTGGGTCCGGGTTGTGGGAGCCAGAGCAAACCCAGACTCTCTCTCACTGGGGCGGGGGAGGGCTGGGGGCTGCAGAGAAGCTGCAACATTATTAGCTAGGTTTTTACAGACCTCTAGATTGTCACTGTCCAAAAGAACTTTACACGATGATGAAAACCTTTTATATCTGTGCCATCCACTGTGGGAGACATTGGCCTCCCATGGTCATTGAGTACCTGAAATGCAGCTAATGTGATTGACAAATTGAAAGGTTCAGTTTACTTCATTTTAATTAATATACACTTGAATAGCCACATGTGGCTAGCAGCTACCATATTGGGCGCCACAACAGTACAGCTGGAGGAGAGGAAGACATTGGTCCTACCAGGTCATTATAAGGGTGAGGGAACTGAAGCTCAGAGCAGGGAAAGGACTTGCCCAAGAACACACAATATTATCTGTCTGTGAGTCTCAGCCAGGGAGGGGTGTGAGGAAGCCCAGTTGTAATGTTCCTTCACGGAAAGGCAACTGCCCTCTCTTCACCCACGCAGGACTAGCCAAGCTGGAATCCATGCACAGCTGGAGGAGCCAGCACCTGAGTGTCACCTGGATGTCAGCAGTATTTTAAGGACATTACATGCATTAATTCATTTAATACTCAGAGTAATTCTGAGATGGAGATATCATCACTGTCTTCTCTTTTTAAAAAATCTTTATTTATTTATTAATTTTTAGAGAGAGAGAGAATCTTAAGAAGGTTCCACGCCCTGTGTGGGGCCCAACATGGGGCTTGATCCCATGACCCTGGGATCATGACCTGAGCAGAAATCAAGAGTCAGAAACTCAACTGACTGAGCTACCCAGGCTCCCCCCACCACCCCCCACTTTTTTTTAGATGGAAGAGTTTTCCAGATCTTTCCCCACATACTAATGCCAACCTAACAGTATATTCATGCCTTCCCTAAGGGCCTGCCTTGCTCTGAGACTTCTAGGGATGCTCCCTCACCACAGGGGCCAGATGTGGTCCAGAGATGCTAGAGGAAGTAAAAGTTCTTTGCCAACTCTGAGAAGTGAGTCATTTCTCAGGGCTGCAATAGCAAGAAGAAGCCCCACATTCCAGCTCTCCATGGGAAGACTTTCTCAGCCACCCTTCCATGCAACTGCTTGAGCCTAGACTGCTCTTAAGAATGAGCCCGGACCCAACCCCTTCCTAGATTCTTACCCTTCAAGCTCTGCAGCTGTCTCTATGGACGGGGAAAGAAGGAAGATGAGGTCCGCCTCCCTGAAAAGTCAGACACCGAGCCATGAAACTGGTGGACTGGAAACCAGCACGTCACCCCTGCCTGCACACCCCTTGCTGTCCCAAACATCTAGAAAAAGTTGATTTTGTAATTAACAGAGAAACAACTGGCAAAGGTGCCCCAAATCAGACATTTAAAATCATGACTATGTTATTGCTCAATGAATCCTTAAAGAGTGTTTCTAAAAGTCAGGAAAACAATTTTTGCAGAGACGACCTATTTTTTTCAGATAAGACTTTTAAAAATTAGGAATGCAGAGAGTTTTTATGGGATTTACGGTATTTTAGGTTTGCATGGCACTTAATTGTACTGTAATCTGAACAGGTAACCCTAGTTCAGCACCATGGAGAGCAACACGCAGCTAATTATTCTTTGGGCTTGGCCTGTGATTCCTAGATTTGTTGATCTGTTCCTTCAACCATCTGTCCATCCATTCATCTATCCATTCATTATCCTACCCATTCAACCAACCATCCATCTGTCCGTCCATCTGTCCGTCCATCCATCCATCCATCCATCCATCCATCCATCCATCCATCCTACTCATTCCCTATATATTGAGTACCAGGTGCCATGTCTGAGCTAGGCTCTGGAGGTACCGATGTGAATAAAACAGATTTAGGTGCGCACACATGTAGTTTTTGCAGACTAGGTGCTCCTTTTCCCACCCGCTACCTTCCCCTCCCCTTTTCTCAAGACGCTGAAGGCCCAGATTCCACTCCTTCTGCTCACCTGACCTGCAGCATCCTGACAGTAGGTTTTGTGACTGCTACCTTTGTCAAGCAGAGTAAGGTTGACATGGAGACACTGTTGCGGCTCAGGCTGCAAGATTGTGGCAAGGGTGTCAGGAGTGAATCCTATATCCCATGGGCTTCCAACTTGCTTTGCTCTCCAGGGGAGGAGGGTGACTCAGGCAGAGGTGGTGGAAAGACTGCTTACTCAAGCTTCTGGAGCCGTGGCAAGCAAAGAAGTCCCTCCACAATGTTCAGCAATACCCAGTCCTTGAGCTGGTTGTCCTGAAATCTAAAGGGAGAACAAGGCCCAGTCCTTCAGCCATGGAGCTGGGGGATTTGGGAGCCCTAAGTGACAGGTGATATGGCTGCTCTTATGCAGGAGACACAAGTCATAGGCCCAGAATGTGTTGGTGGCCTACTCCATGGTGTCCAGTAAGCCCAGCTGAAAGGAAAGGCCCTCTGCCAGTCTCACTCCTGTCTCTATTTAGTCCCAAAGGGGAGCTTCTGCCTAGGCCCAAGAGATCCAGATAATGGGCTGTGAAGGCCTCATGAAGTGGAATGAAGACACCCAGCACTCTGCTCTCAGGGCTATGTCTGCAATGTGCCTGAAGTTGGAGTTTATCAGGGCCTCTTGGCTCCTAGGTGATGAGCAGAGTCTAGACTGCATAAGAGATGCTGTTTCCAGCTCCAGCTCTGGCCTTGACCCTTAGCCCAAGCACACTCTTTCCAGCCTCACATTCCCCATCTGTCAAATGGGGTCCACAACCCAGCCTTGCCTGAGTTCCTAGTTGGAAGGACAGAAGAAGTGTGAGGGTACCTTTGTGTATGATTGCTCTGGTCAGTGCAAAAGTTTGGAAATGTGCACTTGCACACGTTTGCACATGGTAATATTTTTTTCCCTGATTATTGAGAGTGACCTTAATCTTTTCTCCTGTCACCTGGTGATCTCACAAAAAGGCACTCAGCTGTGGGGAATAGGAGCTGAGGTCCTACACTCCACTCAACAATCAGTACAACCTAGTGCCAGGCTGCATCTCTCTGGATGAAAGGATGCCTTTTCTAAATCTCATAAAGGTGCCATATAAGCCAGTGATGGTTCTGCCAGTGAGCTGCTGAGAAGGTTCCCTGGCCCCACCCCTCAGGCTACTCATCACAAACAGAGGGCAGGAGTATATTTGTGCGCATGTGCTTTGTTAATGTGTACTTGCATCTAAGTGTGTATGTGGTTCTAAGTGTGCATGCATGTCTGTAGGCCTATCAATGTGTATGTGAGGGGAGCAGGAGAGTGCAAGTGTGAATACATACGTGCACGAGTGTGAAGTTATGTGTTTCGTGCACTGACGTGTATCCACAATGTCCAACACCTGCCTACACATTGCTATCCCTTCACTCAGGGTCACAGAAAGAGGGGAGGGGGCCTCGAAACTCAAGGTCCTGAAAGATGGCACAAAATATTAGGTGAGAGAAGCTGTACTCTAGGGTCTTTGGATCCAGCCCCACCCAGTTCCCGGATTTATGCCTCCCCTCCCTGGGTCCCACTGAAAAACAATCGGCCAGGTCCTGATGGAATATGCAGGACTCATCACAGGCTCCAGGGGGTGCTTAGGGACCTGGGAAGTGACTTGTCCTCCTAGCCAGCAGGTCTTTCTGGAGATTACTCACCTGACCTCTTCCAGCTGTGGACAGAGAGTCAAAGCCTGCACCAGGTGGTGGATGCCTTGGGCGGTAATCTTACTTCCTGCTAACCTACAGAGTAAGCAAAGATGGTGGGAAGAAACAGAGATGGGAAAGGGGGTAGGCCAGGAATCTACCCCATGCAGGGTTGAAGGGAGAGAAGAGTGTTCCAGGCATCTCTGGCTGAAGATTCCTCTTGGACCCAAGCCCTGGCTCACCCCAGCTTCTTCAGGCTCCCCATTGTCGGCAGGCTCCTGGAGAGGGCTTCTGCAAAGGCATCTCCACACTTCCTGCTCTTAAAGCTGCCACAGGAAGAGGCAAGGTGGCAGAGATCAATGCTGAGCAGGGCTTAGGGGCCATCACCCACCCCTCCTCTGACTGAGGGAACTGAATACAGTTACGTTAATAATAGTAGCAGTAGTTGTTGTTTGTAGAAGTAAGGAATATGCATTACGGCAGAGACTGCTAACTGTCCATTGAAACCCATTCTCTGCTGATAGAGCTCTAACTGGGAACATGGTTTCCCAGACAGAGATGGCATTTCCAGCCTCCCTTGCAGCTCAGAGTGGCCATACGACTATGTTGTCACCATTGGAATGTGAGTGGAAGGAATGCATTCTATCTCCATGTGTGTGGGCTTTAACACACGGGGTGCATCTAGCGCATGCTCCCCTTCCCTTCCCCTAAGCCCATGACCCAGCTTTGATCATGCAGAATCAGATGCCCAAGGAGATGATGGAGTGACAGTGAGAGGGATCTGGGTCCTACATGCCCACACAGAGCTGAGCCATCTCACCGACCCAGACCACTTAGCTCTGAGTCTCCCATGACAGTGAAGCAAAATTCAACATTATCTAACCCACTGTATTTGGGAGGGAAGGGTTCTCTGTTATGAGCCTCACCTTTTCTCTAGCTACTATTACACGTACTGAGCCTTCACCACATGCCAGGCACTCAGTAAGGAGGGTCTTCCCTGTATTCTCTTAGGAACTCTCATAACTCTCCCCCCCATGCAGTTGGTATTATTATGAATTCATTTTAGAGAGGAAGAAACTCAGGTTGAGAGGTTAAATAGCCTGCCAGAAGTCAAACCTCCCATGGACTCAGAGGCTCCAGCTCATGGCTGAGAGGGAGAGGGAAACTAAAAGCTTAGCAACTGCGACAGCAGGAGCCAACTGGACCCTAAAGTCACGGAGAGGCATGGAGCTTCCCAACTGGGTCTCAGGTTAAGCGGTAGTTCAGCCCATCTGTTCTGATGTTCAAGATTCTTACCCAGCCTCCTTCAGCAAGAACAGCTCACCTGAGATCCTCTACCGGCTCACAGCCTGCCAGGGCCTCAGGACAGTGGGGCTCCAGGGGGCAGCCCTCAAAACCCAGTTGGATGGGGGTGTTCCTGTGCCCCAGGATGTTGTTCAAGGCAGCCAGGTCAGCGTAGGTCAGTGGGAAATTATGGAAAGACAGGTAACAGGGGAGGCTTTGGGCCATGAGGCTGGCCAACTCAGGCTCCTGGGTCTCAACCACGCAGTGACAGAGTGCCACAACCTTCGGTCCCGTGAGCCTGCGGGTGGCCAACTTCCTCAAGGCCTGCATCACCTCAGCCTGCCTAGCACCCACCCACACCTCATCTCTTTGTGCCACGTGGCTGAGGAAGGGACAGCAGGCGCGGGATGCCAGCCCTGCCAGGAAGGTGGGGAGGTGGTCTAAGAGGCCTAGTCTCGCTTTGGTCCGCAGCACCCAGTGTGAACTGAGGGTGACATAGTGGGTGAGTGCGTTTTTGTCTACATCGGGGCTGGCCATCAGGTGCAAGGCAGCAAAAAACTCCTGCAGGCTGAGGTGAGTGAAGGCATAGCCTGTGTCCTGGTGCCCAGGGCCTGTGCAGATGCAGAAGGAGGTCAACCAACCGAGAGCAGCCCCAAAGGCCATCATGGGTGCAGGGATGTCTCCTACAGAGAAGATAACCTTCCCGGTCTCCAGACCCCTCAGGGCCACCTCGCTGAGGCCCAGTAGGGACTCAGGAAGCAGGGGCCCCCGGGGGCCGAGGATAGATACCATCTGCACATAGTTCTGAGTCACAGTGGGCAGAAGGGCCACAGCTTGGCCTGGAGAGCTGCTTGGGAGTAGATGGTAGAGGCAGAGGCAGGTGACTTGGCACACTGCAGGCACCGCGCACATGCTCTGCAGATGTCTGTTGCCCCTCAGCTGTGCCAGGGCTGCCTCCTGCCACGGCTGGTTGCTGAAGAAGCGGCCCATATACTCCTCTACCCGTGGCCTATCAAAGCCCCACATATGGACCATGGCTGCCTCTGTGGGCAGGCAGTCGGGCAGCTTCCCTGGACGGGAGGTGGCCAACACCCAGCAGCCAGGAAGGAGGGTCCCTTTGCAGAGGCCGGAGAAGAGGGCAAGGGCTGGACTTAGGGCCTCAGGACCTGCAGCATCCTTGCTAGAATGGGGGTGGAGGGCCTGGTCCAGCCCATCAAAGATCAGCAGGACTCCATTAGCATTCTGCTCCAGGTACTGGAAGACCAAGTCGGCACCCGTCTCGGGGCTCAGGTACAGATCAAAAAGGAGCTGGGGAAGCGTCAGGGACCTTGTGATCAGGTTGAGCTGGCGGAATTCAAAACGGAACAGGGCCTGGAAGCGGTCCAGCTGGCCTTCCGCCCACTTCTGGCAGAGCCGGTGGGTCAGTGTGGTATTGCCCATGCCTGCCTTCCCCAGGAGTACTGTCATCTTCGGGCCCTTGTCAGCCTTAGTGCTGAAGAGGTCCCGGAGGCTAGCATCAGTGCCATCTTCTGCCTTGGGGTCGCCCAGGATGGCCCCCTCCTGAGTGTTGAAGGGTGCTGTGGCCCGGCTCCACTGCAGGATCGGGGGGATGTAGACCTGGTGGAGGGCGAGGGGTTGCCCTGGCTTGGGCATCCTGCTGCCATAGCGCTGCTGGGCAGAAGTCCTCAGCAGCTGCAGGTACCTCTTGGCCAGCTCTGCAAGGGGCGGGGGTGGGGAGGGGCATGAGGGCAGGAGGCCTCCCACCCCCTGATCCCCTCACCCTGGTCCTGACAGTTGGGAGCCTATGGCCTCAGGTGTGTATATATACGTGGGGGGAGCTGGCGAGAGCCCACAGGGGCTGTTGTGCCAACCAAGTTCCTAGAAGGAACTGGTTATACAGAAGCACAGGTTCATTGGGCCACTTAAATAGGGAAGTCCTACCGCGGCTCTGTTTGTTTTGCAACAGTATATGTGTAAAGTTTTCAATGAGATGGAGATGAGAAGTGGAGTACTCCCCTTGCAGCAACTTCTTGGAACAGACTGTGTATCTGAGTAGCCTGTTCCTCTCCCTAATATTTCGGTTCTGCGACGCTCAGGGGTGAGTGCTAACAACCTGTAGGCCCAAGCACTGACCAGTCAGAACTGGAGTTGGGCCCGTACTGCGCCAGGTATTAACTTTTTAATTGCTGGATCACTGGGAGATCTTGGGTGGCCCAGGGGAAGGACTGGAGCCACTGTCAGAGAATACTGGGGACAACTGGTTAAGAACAAGGACACTCCTGGACAACTGGTGGAGAAAAGAGAAGTTCTGGCTGGTCCTCAGCAACCCCAGGCCTTGTGGTGGTGCTGGTGGTGCTGGTGGTGGGGTCTCCCTGCTATCCCGCCCATCTCTAAGCTGGCCAATGAGGGCCCAGGTCTGAGGTCATGCTGGTCACCTCCCTGAGGCTCCCTCAATCCTGAGGAAATGGGCGGTGTCCCTGTAAGACCCCAGATGATGAAGTTGCAATCTGCTGGGGTGCTTCAAGCTCCTTCAGCTGCACCATCTCCGGAGAAGGCCCTGGGGCCTCCTGTGGTGGTGGTGGGGGGGGTCCTCCTTGCCGGACCCAGCACTCTCAAGAGCCCCAGTCCATGTCTCCTGGAGGCTTGGAAGACAGGAGTCACTGGGCTCTTGGAGGCTTGTCAGCAGGGCATAGAGTTCAGGACCTGTGTCCTGGACCCAAGGCAATTCAATCCTTATGTCTGGGTCCCTCATCACCTTGGTACTCACCTAGTTGCTGCTTCCTACACTGCTTCGGGCGGGGTGAGGACCCACAGCTCTCATGAGGCCGCTTGAGCCCTAGAAAGGATGGAAGAAGAGTAAGGGGTGAAGTTTGGGAGCCTGGGCTGAGGGGGCACCAAGCCCCTTTGGGGAGCTCCAGTCCACAAATGGGCAGCAGGCAGACAAGTGTCTCCACACCCAGGGACTGAGAGATGGGCAAAGGCTGCATCGTCACCAGCTTCTGTTTGCAGAAGTGGGTCCCAGGCCTATGTGAGAGGCCTAGAGGCTCTGGGCTGGGGATCTCCCAGTCTAGGATGCAGGGAGCAGTGCCCACAGCCAGCAGCCTCAGGAACACTCAGCTCCAAGAAATGCATGGCTTGGGAAAGACCCAGGTCTGTTGAGGCCACTACTGGTTAGAAAAGTGGAGTTTCCAATGGGCTTGGCCAGGCCTGTGCCCTCCCTCTTGTGCCTGTGTGTTTTATCCCCCTCATTTTACACCTTTTGCATTTCCTCACTTCCCTTAATGGTTTCACAAGTCCTTATCTGCTTATGGATTGTCAAGAGTCACTTTATGCCTTTCTAAAGAGGTTGGGAAAAGAAGAAAGAAAACAAGAAGGAAGGGGAGAGAAAATGGAGGGGAGAAAGAAGGGAAAGAGGACTTAGGGAAGAATTTGAAGAAGGAAAGTGGGATATTCCTACCGCCAGGCATTAATGACTAATCAGAGCAGCCTCTGGGCAGGTCCCTTGTGTTGCCAGCCGTTAACGTTTACAATTTTTTATTATTTACTTATTTTAAAAGATTTTGTTTGTTTGTTTGTTTATATTTGAGAGAGAGAGACGGAGAGAGAGAGAGAGACAGAGCATGTGCAAGACCTGAGCCAAAATCAAGAGTGGGACACTCAAAAAAAAAAAAAAGAGTTGGACACTCAATGACTGAGCCACTCAGGTGCTTCCCCCACCCCCACCCAGGTGTTGACTTTTTTAGGTGCTGGCTTGCAGGAGATTCAGGGATCCCAAAAAGGCACTGGGACCTGCTTAAGAGTATTTTAATATTCCAACAAGTCCTCTTTTAAAAAAAATATTATTTATTTTGAGAGAGAGAGAGAGAGAAGGTGCCCACGAGTGGGGGAGGGGCAGAGAGAGAGAGAGAGAGAGAGAGAGAGAGAGAGAGACAGAATCCCAAGCAGGCTCCATGCTGTCAATGCAGAGCCCGATGCGGGCTTGATCCCACGACTGTGAGATCATGACCTGAGCTAAAATCAAGAGTCAGACACATAATCAACTGAGCCACCCAGGCGCCCCAAGTTCTCTACTAATAAGGGACTCACTGGCTAAATATCAATCAGGCCTGGTCATAGCCACATGATAATTATGCCAGTGCAATGATTTGGGCCAGAAGGGACAGGGACCAGGACAAATAGCTTTGATCTGCTAGGGAGCTGGGATTATGGGGTCACTGTTCTGTTAAAGCCTGTTGATGTTAATGCCAAGCACCGCTATAAGTAAAAAGCCCATACTTCTACTGAAATAAAAGGCATCTAAATTGGAAAGGAAGAAGTAAAATCTGTTTACGGATGATAGGATCTTATATGTATAAAACATTAAAAACTCCACAAAAACGTTTTTTAGAATAAATGAATTCAGCAAAGTAGCAGAATGCAAAGTCATCACACAAAAGTGAGTTGCATTTCTACACATGATACACAACCTAAAAAGGAAATTTCAAAAAGGATTCTACTTACAAGAGCATCGAAAGAATGAAATGGTTAAAAATTAACCAACAAGTAGAAAACTTGTACAGTGGAAAGTACAAAATATAGTCAAAAGAAATTGAAGAAGGCATAAATAAATGGAACTACATCCCAGGCTCATTTGAAGACTTAACTTACAGAGAAGATAAACTTACGGTCTCCAGATCCATTCAGAGACCTAGATACAAGACCTCAAACAATAAAACTCTTAGAAGAAAACATAAAACAAAAGCTTCACAACTTTGGATCTGGCAATGGTCTCTCGGATATGGCACCAGGGCACGGGTAACACAAGAAAAAACAGACAAACCCGGCTTCATGAAAGTGAGAAACATTTTGTGCATCAAAAGACACTATTCACAGAATAATAAGAGAACTTACAGAATAAATGATGTCTGTAAAACATATATCTGAAAAGGGATTAATATCTGGAATATATAGAGACCCCCTAAACTCAACAACAAAACAAACAAGGCAATTAAAACCATGGACAAAGAACTTGAAGAAACAGATCTACAAAGAATGGCCGACATCACCAATCATTAGGGAAATGCAAATCAAAACTGCAGTGAGATGGGGACCCCCTCACATCCATCACGACAGCTACTGTAAAAAACAAACAAACCGGGAAACAAGTGTCGGCGAGGATGTGGGGAAACTGGAGCCCTGTGTACTGTTGGTGGGCATGCAAAATGGTGCTGGCAATGTGGAAGCAGTGTGGAAGTCCCTCAAAATATTAAAAATAGAGCTACCATATAACCCTGGATTCCGGATATATACTCAAAAAGAATTGAAAGCAGGGTTTTGAAGAAATATTTGTTCACCCCTGTTCAGAACAGCATTATCCACAATGGCCAAACTGTGGAAGCAACCCAAGTGTTTATCCGTAGTTGAATGGATAAGTGTGGTATAAACATAACGATGGAATGTTCTTCAGCCTCACAAAGGAAGGAAATTCTGCCACAAGGAGGAGGAGGAGGAGCAATCTTGAGAACATTATACTAAGTGAAATGAGCCAGTCACAGAATGATTCCACTTATAAGAGGTACTTAGAGTAGTTGAAATCATAAAGACAGAGAATAAAATGGTGGTTCCCAGGGGCCGGGGAAGAAAGGAATGGGGAGTGAGTGTTTAATGAGGCCGGAGTATCAGTTTTCCAAGACAGAAAGAGTTCTGGAGGTGGATGGTGGAGACAGCTGCACAGCAAGGAGAGCGTACTTACTACCACTGAACGGTGTGCTTAAAAACGGTTAAGGTAGATGTTTTATGTTATGTGTATTTTACCACAGTTAAAAAATAAAAGGAACATAAATAAAGGTTTGGAGAATAGAGTGAATGAATCCCGAGGTGGTCACCATTTAATCACTGACCCCCGCTGCGCTCCATCAAAAAATCAGTAAGAGCGTCCAGGGTGTGGACAGTAGTCGTGGGTCAGCGGCAGGCTCAAGGTACCTGAATGAGGAGGAGCCTGCGTCTGTGGCTTTGGAATATGAGGCCCTGAAGCTTGGGGACAGGGAAGTGAGAACACGCTCTAGTGAAACGAGACAGGATTCTGGCAGATGCCCAAGAGCTTCCAACTTCAGACTCAGTCAAGAGGCTGCAGTTTAGACTCCTGGGAACAGGTTCTATCAGAACAGGCCAAAGTCTTAAGAGGTGCAGAGGGGGAGGTGGTGGGACCAGGAGCCACAGGGAGGGGCGGGGGGTACACGCAAATGTGTCGGAGGCTGGAGGAGGCTGGTTTAAGGGAAGCAGCTGTGTCCAGCCGCCACCATCCTCCTCCGGGTTGGAGGTGGGGACTTCTCATGCTCAGCAGCCCCTCGTGCTCCGGAGCCCCAGCCCTCACCATGGTGGAGCTGAGATTCAGGTCGGCATTCTTCACCAGCTCCCAGCGGGCTGGGCAACCCTGAAAGAGAGGGGGAGAATGCGACATGGCCTGGGGATGCAGCGGGATGCCCCAGGACCAGCTCTAGCCTGGTGTCTGGCTCAGGGCTTGTTCTTCAGGGTAGGTCCCCAGCAGGGGAGAAATCAAGCGGACCCTCCACGATCTCTGGGGGACGCAACCGGTGAAGGCAGTTGCCGGCAGAAATGTGTACGTATGTGCAGGTCTGTGCACGGACAGGTCTGTGCGTGCGTGTTGGCACGCGCACGAGGGCTTTGTGTGTACGCGAGTGCGTGTTTGTGCGCATGCGCGTGTGATCATACAGGCGCATGCGCACCGTGAAGCCCCCTTGCATCTCCTACGCTCTGCCTTGCGGTAAGTTCTTCTATGAGTTCTCACTTCCTCCCCAAGAACATTGTTGCCCCTCAGTGTTTTGTTTCCCCACGATGCTGCGTAAGTAGGAGGTGCCAAGAAACATCCACAGAACTGAACGGCATTCAAGGCACCTGCCCCTCGGTAGAGGTCAGAGGGCTCGCCCTGCGAATGCTCCTGACTGTGCTGAAGAAAGAAACGTCTTGAGCATTATGGGCTATTTGGAATTTCTTGGTTGGAAGTAGGCACTGGTCCTTTCTCTCCTTGCATCTTGCCTTTGTAGGCAACTGGGGTGAGGCAGGGTAGAAGGAGGGATCTTCCAGGTCCCCAGCTGATATGGTGAAAATAGGGAATTTACTCTGGAAAGTGCTCAGAAACATAGCATTTTGTTCCTGGCTCGACTGTGTCATCTTTGTGTAACTCAGGTGGGTCCCAGCCTTCCCCTGGCCTCTCTGGCTCCCCGTGACAGGGGGCTGGCTGGCTGCTTTGTGCCTCTTAGGTCTGCCCTTACCATCTCCGTGGCCCCAAGTGCTCAGCAGCAGCACCTCCAGGTCCAGTGGGACATCAAGTTCCATGCACACACAATGGATGAACGCCTGCCAAGTGGCCTGGCCTTGAGTGTGCAGTCTGCTGAGTTGTAGCATGACACCCTGTGTGGCATCCTCGGCCTTGTTCCTGGAGCTCAGGTCCATCTTGGGGAGGAAGAACTTCACCTTGGCATTCAGCCATTCTGGGTCTTTGCTGAGCAGGCTCACGAGCCAGCTCCATAGGTTCTTGGTGCCCAGCTGGAGGCTGTCGGGGTCCATGAGGAGCTGGCTCTGCAGGGATAGGGTAGGCAGGTGAACCAGGGAGCAGATAGGTTGGGGGAGAGGTGAGCTGGGAGGCAGGGGAGTTGAGGAAAGGTGAGCTGGGGGGCAGGTGAACAGAAGGACAAGTCAGCCAGAAGGAAGCCAAAGCAGGTAGTCGAGAAACACCTCCCACATCTGGGGGGGGGGGGGCGGTACATAGGCAGACAAGTGGCTTCTTCATGGAGTCACAATGACTATGCCCAGTGATTGGTCCCAGAGAACAGTCTGCTTCTTTTCCTTATCCCCCTGACTATGTGTGCCTGCGTCCTGGCTCTGGAATGGTCCAGTTTATCTCCTGCAGATGGTCCCCAAGGATGCTTTATTTTTTCTTGTTTCCATGGACCCGTTTGTGCTGCTGTCTGTCTGAGCTAATAAGCTCATGGCAGGGACAACTAGTTGTCTTCCAAAATCTGTTCTCCTTTTCTTCCTTAGAACCAGAACCCCTGAATATTTCCTGGTCATCTGGAATAGACTATTTCCCAGCTTCCTTGCAGTTAGAATTAGCCATCTTACTAAGTTGTGGCCAATGGGACATAGATAGAAGGGTTGTACATCCTTCTTTGTTTTTTCCTCGGCTGGAATGTCAACGTGACGGCCAAACTTTGGGCAGCCATATTGGATCATAAGGTGGAAGGCAGTGCAGAGAAGGTGGAAGGTAAGCCTTTCTACCTGTCCTGAACTTCTCTTACATGACAAGGAAATACATGTCTATTTGAAGCACTATTTTTTAGAGCTTTTTCCTACTCAGTGAAATCAAATCCTAGCTAACACAAACCATCTCTCTCTCATTGAGCAACTTCTCCCTTTCTAAACTGGCACTCACAAACAACCTGCTGGTAGGAATACCAATATAAGGCAAGGGGCACTTACACAGCAAAGCTTAAAAAATATGCAGTCCCTTTGATTAGGCAATTCTGTTTCTAGCTCCCTAACCTTAGGAAATCATTATAGGTGTGCATATAATTAATTGCAAAGCTGTTCGCCATAAGATTATTTACATAGATAAACATTGGAAACAACGTGAATGTCCAAAAATTGGGGATTAGTTAACTAATTGGCAGTCCATCAAACAGTGGAGTATGCTGTAACATCTCCAAATGTACTTCCTGGTATTATTTCCTTAACAGTAGCAAACACTAAGGAAGCACATCCTATGTTCTAAGTACACTATGTGTCTCATAATCCCCACAACTATAGAGACCTCACGTCTGAGAAGAGAGGGAGCCTCACCGAGTGTAGCCTTAGCAATTCCCAGAGGCTGGGGCACAGGATTCTGTGTCCTGGGGTTCAGACCACAGCTGTTCCTTTGACTCCCACCCACCAAAGGCCTCTGGGCAAGTGTCCCCAGCCCCCTCTGGCCATACCTTGGCAACTGGACTGATAGTAATAGCTCTTCTTTCAGACACAGAGCTTCAGAATTCATGAAACATGCTCACATCCATGGAGTAGGCACCGATCACCGTCCCCACTGAACAGATGGGAAGACTAAGGCCAAGGAAGGGTAAAGGATGTACCCAAAGCCATATTGCAAGTCCATGGCAGAGCGAAGCTCAGAACTGAGATTTCTTGCCTGTCAGGTCAGTACATTTCTGAGGCCTTGGAGCCCTAATGGCACCAGACAGGGCCAAGTCCCCAGACTTTGTGTGATCTTGGGAAGAGGTTGTGGTTATGGCCGAGGGCACAGCTTCTTTTCCGGGTTACAGTGTTCAAAGTCCATGATGTCCGTAAAGAAATCGGCCAAGACTGCGAGGTGTCAGGTGGAAGTGAGGTGTGCCTGGACGGTATAATTCCTGTGGAAGTCCTTCATCCTCAAATGTGTCTTCCTGCTAGTCTGACACAACACCTTTATTTCTACCATTAGCACTCAATCCTCTTGGGGCACAGCATCAAGCTCTTCACGGGTAACCATCCCTGGAAGAAAAAGCATATTACATTGTTAATGATCATTGAGGTTTCTGTGAGAATAGCTTCGGAGACAGAGGATTATAGCAGAAAGATCCTCAGACACAAAGTTTGGAGACTAGCATTCTTGACCCAGCTCTGTAGCTAATTTTCTGTGGCAGGCACTAGGGCTGTTCACAGATATTCTCTTTCTCCTCTTTCTAGGCCCTTGGTAGGATTACACTTCCCTGCTCCCTTGGCATCTGGCATGACTGCAAAACTTGCTTTGGCCAATGAAATACGCTAAGGAATGACACATGTCATGTCCGTGCAGAAGTTTTAAGAGCCAACGCGTGATTCGCAATGCTCCCTCTTTTCCTCTACCACAGGGACGAGTAGGATTCCAGATCTTGGCTGCTCCTTTAGTCTGGGTCCAGCCAGAGGATTTTGGGGAAAGGAAGTCCCAGTTGACTGACAATAGACAAGAAGTAGGATCGTGAAATACGTTTTTGTTGTCATAAGCCACGAGGACATGGGCGGTGGTTTGTTACTGGCCTATCCTAGCTGATACACTCATAGTATATAGCCTTAAGCAAGTCTATTCTCTCTCTGGGCTTCAGTCGCACCATCTATAAAATGGGTTGATCAGATGCTATCTCAAAAACCTGATTTTCTGTGTCTGATGATTTTTACTCTCAAGCTGAATGATGGCTAAGGGTAGGCCTATTATATCTGGAGCAGCCCAGGGAGGTAAATATGGGTAATCTAGGCAGGGAGCAGTCGGTAGGGAGGAGTAGGGGAGTGAGGGAGTGGATGGGAGGGTAAGGAAGGGGGCAAAGGGTAGAGGGTGACCTACTTGGCCTTCTGGTTCATCCTAGATGTTCGAGGGTGTCCGCAGAGACTGTCTCATGAGTACCTGGGCCAAGTCTTGTGGGAGGAGCTGGATTTTCAGGTTGTTTCCACAGGGCAGGTGCCTAAAGAGAGGAGACCGGTGCTCTCCTCAATGTTCAAGATCGCAAGAGGAATGCTGTGTGGAAGGCACCAGCCCTGACCCCTCCTCTGGAGACACCTCTGAGGTGTTCGACCCAGAGATCTCGTCCTTCTGCAGCCACAGCTCCTTTTATCCCTGGATTGTGCCCAGCCCAACCCTCTCCGGTGCCACCTCCTACCTCCTGTGGCCCGGAGGGTGCCCCTCCCTCTCCCCCAACTTGGACATTCACCTCACAGTGACTTGTGGCATCAGAGTGTACCCTTCAAATCCAGCAGACTTAGGACAGCCAATTCATTTGGATGAAAAAGGAGTAATTCTCACCACAGATGCCAACTTCCTTTCCTAGTAAACTCCCAAAAGGGTAAGATTTGCAATTTTCTTTCTTACTACATTTGAAGTAGTTTTTAGGCAGTCGAGAGTAAAACCTTCCTCTTCCTGAGAAAACCCAGAGGCATTGACCGCTGCCTCACCAAGAACACAATAAAATGACACAGTGGTGCAGAAGCCTTACAGAGATACTTGTCTAAAATACAGGATGGGTGAGAAGAAAGGAGGCTGAAAAGTACACGGAAGAAAGGAAGTAAGGCAGAAGAGCAGTGTGTGCACTGACAGTGTGTCTGTGAAGTGAGGACTGTAACCACCAAGCCCAGGGGGTTCAGTAAATCCACATAAATATGGCACCTTCTCACATAGTAAAGGTAAGTAACCAGAGGGCCGCCTGGGTGGCTCAGTCGGGGAAGCTTTAGACTTCAGCTCAGGTCATGAGCTCACGGTTTATGGGTTGGAGCCCCACATCGGGCTCCCTGCTGACAGCACAGAGCCCGCTTCAGATCCTCGGTGGCCCCCTCTCTCTTCCCCTCCTCTGCTCATTCTGTCTCTCTCAAAATAAATAAATAAACTTTAAAAAGTCTTTAAAAAAAAAAAGGTAACTAGACAGGTCTGTGTTCCCCCCACACCCCATTTATGTGTTAAAGCCCAAATTCCAAGTGACTGTATTTGGTGGCTGGGCCTCTGGTCCTTGGGTCACGAGGACGGAGCCCTCATGATGGGTTCAGGGAGCTTGCAGGAAGAGGCAGAGAAGGCCTGTTTCCTCTCTGGTCCCTGCCACACGCGGATACAAGGAGAGGGTGGCCATCTACAAAGGAAGGGTGCCCCCACCCGCTACCTGATCTGTTGCCACCTCGCTCTTGGGACTTCCCATTCTCCAGAGCTGTGAGAAGTAATGTCTGGTGTGTAAGCCACCCGGCCTAGGGTGTTTGGTTATAGCCAAAATGACTAAGACAAACCTGCCTGTGGCCACAGAAAGTAAAAGGAAAAAAAAAATACCCTCTAAGTAAATACGTAGATTTAAGGCAGTACTACTTAAATTACAGCAGGACACTTCGGATAGCTGGATAAAGCTATAACAGTCCTTCTAGATGCTGGCGAGGATGTGGAGAAATGGGCACTGCTGGTGGGAATGTAAACTGGTGCAGCCCCTCTGGAAGACAGTGTGGAGGTTTCTCAAAAAATTAACAATAGAACAATAGCAATAGCACTGCTAGGAATTTACCCAAGGGATACAGGAGTGCTGATGCATAGGAGCACATGTACCCCAATGTTCATAGCAGCACTCTCAACAATAGCTAAAACATGGAAAGAGCCTAAGTGTCCATCAATGGACAAATGGATCAAGATGTGGTCTATCTATACGATGGAATACTACATGACAATGAGAAAGAATGAAATCTGGCCATGTGTAGCAACATGGATGGACCTTGAGGATGTTATGCTGAGCGAAATAAGTCAGGCAGAGAAGGACAAATACCAAACGTTTGCACATATAGGAGGATTAGGAGGAACTTAACGGAGGACTGTAGGGGAGAAGAAGAGGGGAAGTAGGGGGGGAGAGAGAGGGAAGAAAACCATGAGAGACACTTGAATGCTGAGAACAAACTAAGGACTGATGGGTATGGGGGGGAGGGGAAGGGGGTGATGGGTATGGAGGAGGGCACTTGTTGGGAAGAGCACTGGGTGTTATATGGAAACCAACTTGACAATAAACTATTAAAAAAAAAAAACTATAACAGGGGAGCCTGGGTGGCTTAGTCAGTTAAGCGTCCAACTTTCGCTTAGGTCACGATCTCGCGGTTCGTGGGTTCGAGCCCCACAAAGGGCTCTGTACTAACAGCAAGCTCAGAGCCTGGAGCCTGTTTCAGAATATGAATCACACTCTCTCAGACCCTCCCCTGCTCACACTGTCTCTGTCTCCTAGAAATAAATAAAACACTGAAAAAAAACAACAACAAAAATCTATAACAGACCTTTAGAGGAAAATGGGCAGACACAAGTGTTCATACGCCTTCCTTAAATATTTTGTAATAAACATTTTGTAATAAACATATTAGATAAAACAAGAAAAAAAATGAAGGCAGTTATATCAAAGACTATTTGTTGGGAGAGGCAGGCAATAATGGTGAGGCTTCCAGACCTCATAAAGCATCTTACATAATGCCTATCATTAAAGCTTTACGGAATGGTATTAAAAAAAAAAAAACAAAAAAACTGGCCAAAGGAATGGAATCACATTGGCTTCACGCTCACTTAAAACTCACCAGTTAACCAACGGTGTTAAGAGAAGACATATGGGAAAATACATGGTATTAACACACATGGTAATACAAGTGGCTCAAATTTAAGGAATTGTTTTTTAATTACATAATTAAATTAAAATGTGCTGTATGGAAATCAGGTGCCATTTCACACACCCCGTCCCCCCCGAATGGCCGTAGTGAGAGAATCGACCATACAAGTGAGGATGAGGAGAAATGGGAATGTCAGATGTGAAAGGGGTGCCCACTTTGGAAAACAGTGTGGCAGGTGCTTAAAATGTTCCCCCCAGAGTTACCACATTAGTTAGCCCAGCAATTTCACTCCTACATCTCTCTCCGGCAGACACGAAAATAGACATTCACACGGAAACGTGCAAACAAATGTTTGTTATCCGTAATAGCCCGGCAGTGAAAGCAATGCCAGTGTCCAAAAGCTCATGAATGGAGAAGCAAAATATAGTACGTGTATACAGTGTCATATGATTCAACAACGAAAAGGAGCAAAGTACAGATCCACGCTACAAGGAGGAACCGTAAAAATGTTACGTGTTATGCCGAGTGAAAAAAGCTCCAAAGTATATATCATTATAAGTAGGTCCAAATGTGTGTGTATTTGCATATGCAGAGACCCACTCTAGGCCTACACAACAGATTGGTGACAGGCCTTCGTCTGGGGACGGGACGCAGGGGACGCAAGCAAAAGGGAGCCCTTTATGCTCTACTCTTTTGGACCACGGTTACATTCAAACTTTTTAAAAACATTTTTTTAATGTTTATTGATTTCGAGAGAGAGTGAGCGGGAGAGAGATCTGGACCTGAGCCAAAGTTGGACACTTAACCGACTGAGCCACCTAGGCGCCCCTCAAACTTTTTCATAGGCACATTTTTATAAAAGAAAAAAAACCCATAAAGGCATTTACATTAAAAATGAGAGTAGACATTTCCCCAATCTGTAAGGAAGATAAATACATGGTGATATGAGCACAGGAAATTATCAGTGTTGGCTTGTAGAAATAGAAGTTCCCTCCATAATGTTAAGTAATAAAACTCAAATAGAAATAGGAGGGCAAGCCAAAAGGATAAACGCATGCATTAAGAATGACAGAGAGAGGCTAAAAATTCAAATTAAAAAGTGATTTGTACATACAGAGGACACATTTTCTTCTATGTTTTAGTTGAACATTTGCGTGTGTGTTATGGGGACCAAATGCCATGTTCAATGGAAAAGGGGTTGAAAGAACTGAACATTCAGCCTAGAGAATATGTGCTCAATGCCAGACAAGGGCTTTCGGCCTCAGCTGTCTCAATTCTCACAGCTGTGCCTCCTGGATGCCCTGTATGCATTTACAAATGTCCCCGGCCCAAAATGGCAATCCTGACCTCCCTCTCCCCCTGCCAAACTGCCTGCGTCTACCACCACCGTCCCCAGGTCAGTGAAGGACGACCTCCTGCTTCCTCGAGCTCAGGCCAAAGATGGGAACCTGGCACCGCCACGTCTCACCTGGATTCCTGCACCAGGAGACCCTGGGTGTCTCCACCCTGCCCCGACATCCTCCACGGAGGGCCGGAGTGTCACTGTCAAACTGTGACCCACAGCAGGTGCCTTGGGCACGCTGAGCCGCCTCCCTCACCCCGAGTGAAAGCCAGAGTCCTTTTCAATGCTGTTCAAATAGTTTGAACAGGTAAAAAACAAAAATCAAACTTGACAACTTAAAATTTTCACTTGACACTTATTTTTTATTAACTTTTGGCACTTGATGTTTTTGTGAGAAAATTGTTCATTTTGCCAAGAATGTTTGAACTTTAATAGAGCGCACAGTTGCAGATGATATTTTCCTATACTTAGAAATCTTATATTTTCACACTTAATTTAGTTTATTTTGCTTTGTCTTTTTCCCCTTATTAGATGGGCCAGCAGCCGGTATCTCTTATGTGTAATAAGAGGAAGCACTTTCATTTTCATTTATTAATTCTGTAGAACTTTTTCTTTTTTCATTTTATAATTTTTTAATGTCCTGACTTATCTTCCCTGATTTATTGAGAGTGTTAACTTGTTAAGCTTACGGGTTAGTTGATTGCTTAAATCAGTTCTAGTCTTTTCATTTTAAAACATAATAAGAAAACACTTTTGGCAAATTTCCATAAATTTATGTCAGGTTTATGTCATGTTTGCATCATGTTACTAGTAGATTTTAATTCTGAACTGAGTCATTTAATAGAGGGGTGAGTTATTTTTTGAACCTTGCCATTAATTTTTTGTTTTACTGTACCGTGCAAAGAATAAGTTCTATGCAATTTCTGCTTAGGGAAATATGTTGAAATTTTCCTTTTTTGCTTGGCATATGACAAATTTTAAAATATTCCATGACATTTAAAAAGTTATTCTTTTTCA